ACACTGACAGAGGCAAGGCTGCCGGACACTGGCGCCACTGGGCCCTCTGACCACCACCAGTAGGCAACGGGTGAAGTGTCTTGTCCAAGGTCACAACAATCAAGACTGTCGGAGCCGGAAGAAGAAGCACCTGGGCTTGTTATTAGCAAGCAGAGATGAGGCAGGTCAATTTCACAAATCAAAATTTATTAGGAAAAAAACCACTAAAAGCATAGAGCTGCAAAACCAGAGAACTTCCTAGGCTGACAATGCAAAACCTTACAACACCTTATTAACAAACATTAATTAAAAAGACAAGGCTTGCTGCCACAGTGCTAACCTAGTTAAAATGGCAGCTCAGTAAAATAATTAAAGTGGAGTTTTTCACAAAGTAAACATTAAAGATAGTGTTTGATTACTGTTAAAACGTCAATTAATTTAACTACAATAACACTACAGATCTGTATCACTTCATTTTGTTTGTTTATTAAAAACAAACAGAAATATTTAGTCAAAAAGACAGATGTAAATATAATCATAGATATGTTTAAAAATGTACAAACTAATGATTAAAAAATGTGTTATGAAGGAATCTGCTGATTTCTATGTTAAGGTTTATTAAGTGGAAGAGGAAAAAACAAAATAGAAGAAAAACAGTACAAATACAGGGAGCACAAAAAAGTTTACATTTTCATGTGGAGAAATATTTTTATGGATAAAAATATTAATGAGCAGTAGTAGGCTCTATGGCTAAACGGGAAAGATCTCCACCAAAAAAACCAAGATGCCGAGGTACCACCCATAATGTCTGACTGACAGCTGATCTTTGTGCAGCGGAGAAATGCCACAATGTTGCTGCAGAGAAATAAAATGGAAACTAAAATGCAGATTTTAACCTACAATATGAAAGACTTCAGTCTATTTCAGTTTAATGAACCCAGCAGTGTCTCCAACATTGTGGTAAAACCAGAGTCCAGCATAGAGCGGCTGAGTGAATGTGGTCTGGACTCTGTGGAGGAGAGTCATGGTTTTAGTGACGCTGTAGAAGGACAAAATACCTGCTCTATGATCCAGGTACACTCCTACTCTGGAGGAACGAGGACCTGAGACAGGAGTTTGGATGTTGTTGTACCAAAATGTGTAACTATTTTTGGAACAATCTAATGCCCAAGATTTGTCATTACGCCCAAAGGCACATTCATTCCTCCACCATGCTCTGCTAATGTTCTTGTATGCGACTGCTATAATAACTCTCCCTTTCCTCTCCACCTCCCAGTAACAACGTCCAGTCAGACTCTCTTTACTCAGGACCTGAAACATTCCAGTGAATTTGTCTTGATGATCAGAATAAGACTGTTGATGCTTCACATATGATGCTTTTCTGTTCCCCTCTGATAATAACAGCTGTGTGTGTGCTGTGTTTGGGTCCAGTGTGATTTCACATGAATATTTTAAGAATTCCGCTCTGGTCTTTGGCTCTGGTTGTGACAGTAAAACATCCACTTCAGTGACTGTCAGTGAGATGTTTGTCCATTGCTCTCTCAGAATGTCCTGTAGTTTATCTCTGACCTCTGACACAGCTGCTGTCACATCCTCAAAGTAGCTCAGAGGACGGATATTGATGCTGGATGAGTCTGTAGACTCACTGAGTGCTGACAG